GTGTGTGTGTGTGCGTGTGTACGCGCGCGCGCGTGCGTGCTAGGAGAGAGGATGGATCAAGAATGAGAAAGGCAAGATTGCGCGCGGTGCACGGCTCGTTTGTTAGAGTGCTACTCCAACATTCACCTGATTTTGACAGGAGAAACCTTAGCAAACTCTCCTTGAGGGTAGCCTATCGATTTATCGTCGGGACAGCAGCTTAACTCGACCTAGCTACCAAACCAGTGTCGAAAGCCTGCCTCCGTCGGGACTCGAACCCTAAGAACTCCAAGTGGTTCCATGCAGACGCTGCAGTGACAACGGATGTGGTAAATGATCCATATTATCCCGTTTTTACAGTTGAGAATGAAAAAGGAAAGAAGAACAAAACAACGTATTCCACTAAACCACACATTTATAAATAATATGAGACATAAGAATAGAGACACCTCGAGATTGGATATTCACGGCTTTACGAGGAATGGAAGATGCCAGCATTTAGTGAAAAAATGAAGATCCGCATTGAAGAAAGTGTGTGCAGTGCCCTCACCACAGCGCCAGCGAGGAGAAGTGCTTGCAGGTAGCAGGCGGAGGCCACCGATCTGCTCTTCATGTTGATATCGCCGGCTGGTGATTTCACGGACTAGAGGTGCGTCGCGTTTTTTCGCCTCGCGCCCCGCAGCGGCGCAGCGCGTCGATAGCGCTTATCGCCCACTTGGTGAGGACGCTTCAGCGACTGATGCCGTGTGGTTTCCCAATGGCGGCAACCTCTTATCATCCTTTCTATTATTAAGAGCTGGAAACGGACATGAATACCATGCCAAAATAGATATTCATGTCACGAGTCCTCTGAATGAGTCTTTGAGAACGAAGCCGGAAGGTTAACTTCGAGGGGGAGCGTCAGCGAAACCGAGTAGTTAAACTTCCGGCTGAGTCCTTAAAGACTAATAAATAACGAGTTATATACAAGTTTTTTTGTTATTTCTAGTTTACCGGTTAATCCAAATAAACTTTTACCACTTTCATGAGTTAAGAATTGTCGTTACTCTCGATTTTCTGTAGTGAAGGTTGGTGCTTTATTTGAGATCATACAGTTGAACGCTTTTTCTGCTAATGCAAGCTGATTGAGAAAAAATGTCCGGGAATTTCGAAGATTCAGAAGATATTTCGTGCCAAATGATATTCAGGAGAAAGCAGAAGCTGGAAGCTCTAGTTGATGTCTTCTAAATCTGTAACCATTTATGAGAAAGCTTATGATTTATTTGTGATTGGCGAACAAAAAAGAATGTACTTATGAATGAAAAATGTACTACAATACTACTTTCAATGTATCAGTACCAAAATAATTTAAAGATAAATTTTGTTTTCATTCATTCCGAAAATTGTGTTTTGGATCGTCATATTTATCCCAAGATTTATAAGCACTGGTAAAATCTAAACTCCAAAGTCCGCTAAAATATTTTTAATGAGTTCTCGAGCATTTTAATGGCCGTTGCTACGGACGCGCTCTTAAAGCGTTGTTAAAATGGTTGGTTGCTACGGGGCTAAATGCGTGTTTACCAAAGTAAATAACAAAAATATTTTTAGACATCCACTAGTAAAAGCAGTTACATTTAGGGCATGCACAGCATGCTAAAAGTTACCTTTTTCACTACATTCTAAAAGTGAGACGATGCCCTCAAAACAAATTACTTTGCATTTCAACTATTCAGGAATATTTTCAGAATCGATTCCGGAACGTTCACTCTAGTAATTATCGATTATAATCGATTCAGGAATATTAAAACAGAATAATTATAAAGTAATTAAATAAACAAGCTAACAGGTCGTGTGACTTCTTTCGTCACATCTCCGGTATACAAAACTGCGAAACATCGAAACTAGTAAGTTTCGATATTCCGTAGTAAATGTCTCGGCCGAGAGCAGAATCACTGGGAATCGAACTCGTAACCACCCGAGGCGGCACGCGCAGTGACTCAGGCGCAGCTGCGCGGCGCAGGCGCCTCGCGTCCTCACGTCCAGCGCAGCAGCACGCCCCCGCCCCATAAACGAAAGCGATGGCGCTGGCGCTGGCGTGGCCTTCCCATCGGAGACACCAAGGTGCCTGAGGCTGCCAAGCGAACGATGGCTAGCTTTTCGTGTTTAGTTTGTCGTGGGGAACAACCGCTCCGCCTACGCGTTCATTCACGAGTTATTCATTCGCATTCTTACTGTAAATTAAAAATGCGAATTTCCTTCATTGATGTATTGATTAATTTGTGATTTCGAGTAACTCATGAAGCCATTAGTCCCGAAAGTGTAGTGCGGGTATTCATCGCAGTAGGTTGTAGTGGTGGTGATCATCCTCCAATGGCTGGTGTGTTCAAGCCCCGACCTACGACGGCTTGCTGCGATTTTCCCCAACCAGGTATCTCCCATCAGCGGGGCACCGCCCAGCCGGGACAAACTCTAAGCTCCCGATCAGTCTCCCGGCATCTGTGGTAGTGTAGTGAATGCACGTGTAAGTGAGTGTAAGGGGAGAGGATAGGACAGGGAATGGGATGAAAAGATCACGCCCGATCCGTGGCCCGTCTGATAGGGTATTGCCGCGGCATTCACCCTGGTGTAGATCGGAGAAACCACAGAAAATTATCGACCGCAGCAGCCGGCCGCTAGAATTCTCCTCCAGACTGCGACAGAATTAGATCTAGCTGGCAAGCTAGTATCGAAAATCCTGCCACTGTCGGGACTCAAACCTAGTCCTCCCGATCAGAGAGACTGCAGTGACATCAGTTGATGCCCTAATTCACCTCTCCTTACTAAAATACAAAAAAAGTGTATTAGATTATGTCAGGGCAAATAGTTTCTTGCGTTATCGCCAGGAATGCGTATACCACTGTGCGCCCGAAGCGCTGAGGATAGTAGATTTAAAGACTTTTAAAACCCGAAGGCGATAATTATGTACTGTAGCTGCATGTTATGGGCCATTAAGAAGCGTTTTTAACATTATGAATATAATTTAAAAAACTACTCCGTCCATTAAACGGTGCTGTGAGTACGTGAAAGTGGTGCAGCATAGTCGGCGGAAGCGGCCTATGTAGAGATTACTGTAAGAAGGGACCGCTTTTCTTGGTCACTGCTAGCAATATCACTGTACGTTACGACCATTACGTCATTTTGCCAGTGCGTTCGTTTACAGTTAGCTCATTTGCCAATGGCTTGATCACTAACTCTTGCAATGTCGTCGCCCTGCCTGACGTTCATTTGTTTCCCGGCCTGCCAAAGTGGTCCCTTATGAGAGTAACTCCTCTATACCACTAACACCGGAGCCCTGGCGCTGGCTCTCTGTCGCCGAGAAGCCCTGGGCGGCGCGGCGGCCGAGCGACCGGGCGGCTGGGTGACTGGGCGCGCGCGCACCTGCTCGTGATTACAGCCACGCACCTGTCCGCGAAGCCCTCCCCCCTACCCGTGCGGCACGCACTCCACGCACATCGCCGGGGGCCGCGTTATGTAATTTGAAACGCCGGCCATCACGCTCACTTGCCGCAACCCCTTCCTCAGGACCTCACACTCTCTCTTACAATTCAGGAAGTTTGGTGGAAACGATAGCTCAGTCTCACATAATGCATTTGTAATCACATGTAATGATTTATTGTTGTCTAAAGATATTCGTTTAAACAATTAATGTCTTTGGGCGAAAATAAAAGAAGCCCACATCAGCCCCAATAAGTCTAACGTTAACTGTAAAAGTCAATATCTTAATCAGTAAAGCAGGAGCGCATCCAGAGACGAATATTGGGAGGGGAAATTTGTTTATTCAAAATGTTTTGGTCGAATGTGTCATATTACAGATTACGTAGAATGACGCAGGCTAAACTCAGCTCATATAGCAATGTAATTTTATTTGTTTTAATGTTACACGAAAATATGTTTGCTTGAAAATTCCGTGTCTAGATGAAATGAATAGTTACTGAAAAATTGTGGGAGGGGAAATTTCCCCAATTTCCCTCCCCTTGGATCCGCTCCTGGTGAAGGGTGGCTTATTTTAATATTACAAGTTTTGTTCGTATTTATCAAGAGCTTGCAGCAATTAGAGCACTTCGATCAGAATTAGATATTAACAATTACAAATTGCGGGGGATTTTCTGTGCCTCATGTGGCTTATCTTGTTGTTGACCCAAGCCCTTCAATTGTACTATTATAAAAATCTAACCGACATCATTCAGATTAATTATTCAACGAAACAAACAATTTCGTCAATCTTTTAATTACACATTAGTCGAAACACTTTTCAACCCTATATTATTTATTCTTGCAAATGATTTGCAGCAGTCGTTTCGTACGGAAATATTTTGAAAAATTATTGAAAAATACGAGTAATAATTTAAAAGGTAATGAAACACATCTGTTTCATTGTGTGTTTCAGTTCAACTTCCACTGCAATATTTCTCATTGGTTGAATAGATACTTCGAAAATTTCCTGGATGTGTTCCAAACTGTCTTCTTTCATCCGCGATGAATAGATATCCTGAAATCTGGAAGCTCTATTAGATCTCACTGATTAAATCCGCAAACAAAAAAAAAGTATGGGTTTAAACTGAAAAGAAAACATTCAAATGATCTGGCATAATAATTCATGTTTCATCAATGTGACCAGAACAACTTCCAAATTTGTCTGCGAGAATTCATTGTGTTTGTTGTCTAAATGAAAGTATCAGCTTAAAAAGTTAGCTACTATCAATATTATTAAGATGAAATACTTTGGTACGAAGATTGTAATATTATATGAAGGGTCTTATATTAATTATTTAAAAAATAACGTAAAATAATCTCATCGGCTTTACGTACATCAATTGATCACTCTTAGCGATTAATAATATCCAGATTATATTATTATTTCACAGCAACATTCCATTATTCAGTCTGCATAAATTTCCTTGCACAACCTTTATATTGACAATTTCTATCTCACTTTCCACAAGAGGTCTTTTGTGAAATGATAAGAGTTTGCTCTCTGATAAGATACATTTTTTCTATTTTAGGTGCCAGGGTCACAGATCAACTGCTTGGACATCACTACAACACAGTTCTAGGTAAGTGTTGACTGTTATTTGTTTAAACACGTTTTAAAGAAGTAATGTGAATTTATTCGAACTTTAAGTACCACAAAAACGTATAGTTCTGTTTTTAAAACGATAACCTTCAAAGCATTTTCAAACTTTAATTACAGTAAGCTGCAGCTAATAAAAATCTACTAATTTAGGGGCGTTTCCACTAGAAAAAACTCATTTCAGGAAAATATTTTTTAAATGTCTGATATTTTATCAATTGTGTATGAGACATTGCAATCAATCTAATTAGGATTCAGACTCATAAAGTGCTAGGTTCTCTGGACCTATGATGAACATTGTGTAATACCAGCTCTAACGAATGTGAAACAAAAAGTTATACTTCAATCAATATCGTTAACCATCCACTCTGTAAGACTCTGGAAAATATTGTGTAGGATGTACTAGAAGAGCAATTACTAGCTTTGTCCAGGTTGTATTTTTTACCAATCGTTGCACGGTTGTCTCCTCGTAGCAATACATACCTCGTTTCATCAGATCGCATACATAATCATTCTCCGCGATCGTTTCCACCATCATTATCCATTCAGTGAAAGTGTGTAACGAACCATCAAAGTGGTATTCTGCCCAGGAAAAGAACATGATGCCAATAGCTATCACCCTCTTCTAAGCTCACCCGTCTCCCTCTCCTAAGCTCACTATTGAATACTGCACTTAACACTATCAACATCATCATCAATAATTGTTAGAGGTGGTAGATTTTAGCAGTTGTTAAACTTTGCGAAATGTCCCCAAGCGCTGAAAAACAAATTAGTTATATATTTGACGGTCGGTGCAGTATTTTTATGACGGTTTTCAATCTGCGATAAGATGAGGAATTGATCGCAAAATGCGAAATCACGTACAAACTGCAAAATGGTCGACCTGCGATATAATTACTAAATTACAGTTTTTGGTGTCGTTCGTGTTTGCTCTGTATTTAGGGATGCAACATCGACAACGTATCGATACTTCAAAATCATTTAATTTAGCATTGGCCATGTTACAAATGGCAAAATATATATTAGATTGCCTTAGTTTATTTTAATGGGAATATCTAAAGAGCACCATTTTTTTTATCTCAAAGAGTTCTCCCTTAATAAAAACATTTTCAACAAATGCTACAAAATTCTAAATTCTAATTTTTATAATGCTATAAAATGATTCTGGCGCTATTTTTTTTTAACATGTTACATTCTACCATCACTTTCAATTGTATATAATGTCTAGTCAATTGATGTAATTGGTAGATACTGTGTTATTTTTGAGTTTTAATAGTGTAATGAAATGAAAGTTAAGAAACCGCTTCTTCGTGTTCTAAACGCTGAGCTGATTCGTCATTCGCATGGGCGTGTGAGCGTGCGCAGCAGCGCCTGGAGAGGCAGCGAGGTTCGCTAGCCAGCCAGCCGGGCGGCGCGTCGGGTGCGTGCTGGGCGCTGCGGACTCTCCCGTGCTCTCTGGACGCCTCCTCCCCCTCCCCCTGCCCCTCCACCCCGCTCCCCACTGTGCCGCCGCGCTCGGATTTCGCGCTATTCTGGGCGGCGCAGCGGAGGCAGTGACGGTAGCGGAGGCGGTGGCAATGGAGGCGGATGGGACGGGCAGCGGTGGAGGCGGTGGCAGAGAGAGCGACGTTTGCGGTGAGGACGCAGGCGACGGCAGCGTCAGCGGTGGCGTTGGCGGTGGTGACAGCGGGGGCATTGCGGGCTTTGGGTGGGCGTGGGCGTGAGCGTGAGCGAGGCCGGCGGCGGCGGCGGCCGAGGTCCCTTGACAGCCCGTGCGCCGCCGGCCACGGCCGGTTGTTCTTCCCGGGGCACTGACCCACCGCCGGATTACGCTTTAAAGCCCTATTACGCGCTGCACTCACTGGGCTTGTTTATGAGCGGCGGAATTTGCTTTGTTTAGGCGGAAGCGGCTGGAGCTGCTGCATGAACGTAAATGTTTCGTTGGCTCACGAAGTAGAGATGAGACGTGCCAGTTTTTTAGGAAGCACTTCAGTTAGCAATTGTTTCTTCCGGGGTGACAGATTACTTCTATTAATTTTCATATTAATATAATTTTTAGACAGAAAATAACTGTTTGTAATAATTTTAGTAGTTCTAGGCGAAGATTAGATGTCTCAACACAAGTCTCATTGAGATTTTTCAGAAAATGTACAGCTCTTATTACACAACTTTACACAACTGTTCAGAAAGCGACGATTTGACGATTTATTCTACTGCAATATTTCTTCTATTAACAAACATACGTTTTATTGTTGTTTTTTTGTTTTTTTAATTCTCGGTTGACAAGGCCTTCTTCTCTCTTACATATGAAACCCGAATGCACTTTGTATTGGGGTGAAATGATAAAATAATTTAGTAAGACATAACTTAACAATGTTGGCATGCTTTTGTGTCCTTGAAAGAAACCTCATTCCTGTGTACGACTTTGCTGAGGTCGTGTGTTCCTTGTTCAGGATTATTTGAAGACGTGCGTGATGAAGAAATGTTCCCCAGCTACATGACCACAGTAGTTCCCGCGAAAGTATGAGATTTCTGGTACACGAGCGAATGTTGTTGATTTGGCCGATAGCGATCAATGTAGGATGTGAGCATTTATGTGCGAAACCATGTTCGGGAAAATAAAATCTCCTCTGGCCCTTGCGACCGACCTCCGTGCGTGTGTGTTTTCTAATCGTCTGAAACCTCAGGTATTTGCGAAGCACCTGTGAGGCGCGCGGCGGCCTTCCTCTTACAAGGCTCCGACTCTCAGACGTTCAACTTGTGAGAGGACTCAAAACGGCGCTGCCAGAGAGAGTTCAGCTGCCGCAATGGACAAGAAGGTACAATAAATTGTTTCATTTAGAGGTCTGTCAGTCTCAAAATATAAAACACATCCTGCGGGGAAAATTCTAATAACTCCCTAGTTAAATTTTATTAATTGCAGTGAAACAATACTTCATTATTATTGAGAAGAATGAGAAACTTGAAAACACCTAATGAACATTTCTCTTCTGTTAAAAGAAGTTCCTAGATATTTATACAAAAATAAACACTTTTTACTCGTCGTGTAAGTAACACATCATGGTTATGCCATTAAAGCAAAGACGAGTCTATTCAACCGAGTACTAAACCATAAAACAGATATTTACACACTTTTTATATAAATTGACTTTTTTGTAAATATATCTGAGTTACCCATATTTGTGTCCCTTCAAGCCAGTTTTTAATAGTTTCCTCCCGGGAGTCTTCTTTTTGAAACAAATACTTGCAGTGAAACAAAAACAAATACCCGAGTATCTTTAAGTTCCTTCATCTTCTACATACGAGATTTATTATTCCATTTATATCTCTGTTGTCATGCGAGATTTCGTGTACTGGTCGAAATAAATTTCAATTAGTCAAAATCATTTGCACGTACTGCCGGTCCCGAATTTCTTTGTATTTACATATTTAGACTAAACATCTCATTGGTGTTCAGCACTTTCAAATCGCATCTTTAGATTTATGTCATCTAAAGACAGGAAAATACGACATAAACCTAAAGTTTTTAAATTGTGTATGAACGCATTAAAATAACGGTATAAAGGTCTACGAAGTGACAAAATACGTTTCCAGGCTTTGAATATTGAATACGAGAAATTCTTTGTGACATTTTAGGTTCTTGTTGTAAAAATGCTTGAAGGGTGGATTTGTGAAATGTGTGAATATATGTTTTGTGAGGAATTATTTGAATTCGACATTCGTAAAACGTGTGAGAGAAGGAGATGAAATGTTTGGGAATGAGAGCGCTTTCGCCACGTTCATTTCGGGGGCTCACAGAGGTTGTCAATTCGTTTGACCACGGAACCCTTTCAGCTTCTCCTTCGAGGTTATGAGGGATTTTTGTATAGCCTCGATAAGGGAAAGTGCTAACATTTATTTGGTATTTCTGTTGCTGTGGTCTTAGGACTTCCAAAGGGCAGCCCTAAGTTAGGATAGTGTAACGGGAATCTTCGGACTTTCAGTGGAACCTTTCTAATGAGTTAGGAAAACTGTAGAAAAGGAAGGCTTTTTAGTGAGTGTATTTGGTATTTGATGAACAGGTTGCTCTCCCGAAGAGTGAGTGGTTCAGTGACACACTTGCACGAGACGAATAGTTCCTTTGTAAAACAGGTTTACCAAACAAAAACAAATAAGAATACAAAAAATGTTACTGATTTTATACCTGCGTCATGTTAAAACATTTAAATGTTTTGATTAATTATAGTATTGTAAAAATGTCTTTGATCTAATACCCGGTACTCTTGACTGAATTTATTATTTCTTTTTTATTTCTGCTATTATGGTTTATTCAGTTTGTCATCCCTTATTTTGGTCCGAATCAAGGAGATAACTTTGATGTTGTTAATGATAGATAACATCTACTCGAGTGTACTGTCCTACCGGACGAAAAGTCCTAACTGTTATTCAAATTTTTGGAGACTGAAGTACATTTGCTGTAAACTCATTCGTTCAAGTAATTAGCTTTGTTCTGAACCTTTTCTCTACGCTCCACAAACGCTTCTCTACGCTACAAACGCTCCAGCGTTTGAGAATATTATATAATAATTGCACAATAGAATAATGTACACCATTAACACAGAGTAGATATAACTAGTTCTAGTTTTCCTTCTACAACTCGGATACTAACCGACTCGGCTCAGAGCAACCATTGTTTCTATTGCATTGACAGTGATGTCCTAGGTTTTTGGTTCCGACGATGGCGTATTTTCGAGTTTGATACCTATTTTGAAATCGTCCGTTATCTGTAGGAAAATTCTAGCGCACGAATGCTCTGATCGGCAGTTTTCCATGGTTTCTCGGACCAATACCAGATGAATGCCGGAACAGTGATGGCCAGACCAATGTAACAAACAGGCCGCCCACGCTGCCCGGCTACTGCTGACTACGTAAATGAAGACTCCCATGCGCTCGCCAAAAATGTCAATTAGCGCTTGCTCCTTTCGTTCATTTGCAGTTGATTCT